AAAAACCACCACACATCCACTGTCTCCATCATTTCATAAAAGAAAAACCGGGACTTCCCTGGTGGCGCAGTGGTTAAGAATCCGCCTGCCAATGCAGGGCACAGGGGTTCGAGCCCTGGTCTGGGAAGATCCCACATGCCGCAGAGCAACTAAGCCCGTGTGCCACAACTACTAAGCCTGAGCTCTAGAGCCCGCGAGCCACAACTACTGAGCCCGCGTGCCACAACTACTGAAGCCCGCACGCCTAGAGCCCGTGCTCCACAACAAGAGAAGCCACTGTCATGAGAAGCCCGCGCACCGCAACGAAGAGTAGCCCCGCACTCTCCGCAACTATAGAAAGTCTGCGGGCAGCAACGAAGACCCAAAGCAGCCAAAAATAATAAATAAATTAAAAAATGAAAAGAAAAACCATCTTAACACCTAAAGGATAGGAAGGACCTAATTTCAGCCCTAAAAAAAAAAAAAAAAAAAAAAAAAAAAAGGCCTTTCCCGGGCAGGGACAGCTGGTGTTTGTACACTGACAATTTCACTGCAGAAACCTTCTGCCCCTGGCTTATGGATTTGAATCTTGTCTCTGATACTTCCTAGCTGTGTGACTTTGAGTAAGCAACTTTGCCTCTCTGTGCCTCACTGTCTCCTTCTCCGGGTCATTGTGAGGATTAAATGATTTAACCTATGTAAATTAAAGCCCTCGCTACAGAGGCTGGTGTAGATGTATCGTCGCCGAAACTCACGAGTGAAAACAGCGCCACCTAGTGGCTCTTCATCCCAGGTACAGACAAGCTGCTTCGGAGGAGGCATCCACACGGGCAGTGAGTGGGAACCATGTGTAATGGCCAAGGCTGAGGGAGAAATAAGCAGAAAAGCCACAAATATTCATGGAATTATAAATAAAGTTGGATTCTCACTTTATGCCATATACAAAAGTTAATTCAAAACTGATCAAATATCTAAACGTAAGAGCTAAACCTATAAAACTCGAAGAAGAATACAGGGCAAAAATCTACATGACGTTGGGTTTGGCAATGATTTCTGGGATGTGACACCAAAAGCACAGGCAACAAAATAAAAATAGATAAATGACTACATCAAAATTAAAAACTTATGTGCATCAAAGGACACAATCAACAGGGTGAAAAAGGTAACCCAGGGGATGGGAGACAATATTTGCAAATCATTCATAAGGGGTTAATAGGATATATAAGGAACTCTTACAATCCAATTACAAAAAACTAATGTCACCATTCAAAAACGGGCAAAGGAGTTGAATAAACATTTGTTCAAAAGTGTATACAGGGCTTCCCTGGTGGCGCAGTGGTTGAGAGTCCGCCTGCCGATGCAGGGGACGCGGGTTCGTGCCCCGGTCCAGGAAGATCCCACATGCCACGGAGCGGCTGGGCCCGTGAGCCATGGCCGCTGAGCCTGTGCGTCCGGAGCCTGTGCTCCGCGACGGGAGAGGCCACAACAGTGAGATGCCCGCGTACCGCAAAAAAAAAAAAAAGTGTATACAAATGGTCAGCAAGCATGTGAAAAGATGCTCAACATTACTAATCATTAGTGAAATGCAAATCAAAACTACAAGGAGGTGCCACCTCACATCCATCAGAATGGTTACTATCAAAGAAACAAAAGACAAGTGTTGGTGAGGATGTGGAGAAATTGGAAACTTTGTGCACTGTTGGTGGGAATGTAAAATGCTGCAGCCACTATGGAAAACAGTGTGGTGGTTACTAAAAAATTTTAAATAGAATTACCACATGACCCAGCAACTTCACTTCTGGGTGTATACCCAAATGAATTGAAAGCAAGATCTCAAAGAGATATTTGTACACCCATGTTCATAGCAGCATCAATTACTAGAGCTAATCCAAGGAAGCAATCTCCATCGTCAGACGCATGAATAAAGAAAATGTTATATATATATATATATATATATATATACACATATATATGTCATACACACACACACACACACACACAATGGAATAATATTCCATTGGACACAATGAAATACCAGTCCTGGGTCATTCTAAGGAAATTGTTCCATCCAAGTATCAAACGGTTTTCTAAATTTATAACCCATCACAGGCTCAAAGTCATGCCTCATTTTAATTGGCCTCCTATTTGGCCCATGACTTTCTTGCATAGACTTATTTTACTAGAACTTGTAATTGGCTTCCTTAGTTGTTACTGACATAACAAGCATATGTGTTCTCCTTGTTTCCAAGATTTTCAGTCATAGCTTCTTTTTTTAAATTTTTTTTATTGAAGTATAGCTGATTTACAATGTGTTAATTTCTTCTGTGCAGCAGAGTGATTCAGTTATACATATATACATTCTTTTTTATATTCTTTTCCATTATGGTTTATCACAGGATACTGAATATAGTTCCTTATGCTATACAATAGGACCTTGTTGTTTATCCATTCTACATGTAATATTTTGCAACTACTAACCCCAAACTCCGTCCATCCTTCCCTCACCCCCCTTCCCCTTGGCAACCACAAGTTTGTTCTCTGTGAGTCTGTTTCTGTTTCATAGATAGGTTCATTTGTGCTGCATTTTAGATTACACATATAAGTGATATAATATGGTATTTGTCCTTCACTTTCTTACTTCACTTAGTATGATAATTCTAGTTGCATCCATGTTGTTGTAAATGGCATTATTTCATTCTTTTTTTATGGCTGAGTAGTAGTATTCCATTGTATATATGTGCCACATCTTCTTTATCCATTCATCTGCCAATGGACATTTAGGTTGTTTCCATGTCTTGGCTATTGTGAATAGTGCTGCTATGAACACAGGGGTGCATTTATTTTTTTGAATTATAGTTTTGTCCAGATATATGCCCAGGAGTGGGACTGCTGGATCATATGGTAATTCTATTTTTAGTTTTCTGAGGAACCTCCATACTGTTTTCCATAGTGGCTGCACCAACTTATTAATACATTCCAACCAACAGTGTAGGTGGGTTCCTTTTTCTCTACACCCTCTTCAGCATTTGTTATTTGTAGATTTTTTAATGATGGCCATTCTGACTGGTACGAGGTGGTACCTCTTTGTATTGTAGTTTTGATTTGCATTTCTCTAATAATTAGTGATGTTAAGCATCTTTTCTCTTTTTTTTAAACACCTTTATTAGAGTATAATTGCTTTACAATGGTGTGCTAGTTTCTGCTTTATAACAAAGTGAGCATCTTTTCATGTGCCTATTGGCCATCTGTATGTCTTCTTTGGAGAAATGTCTATTTAGGTCTTCTGCCCATTTTTCAATTGGGTTGTTTGTTTTTTTGTTGTTGTTGAGTTGTATGAGTTGTTTGTATATTTTGGAAATAAAGCTCTTGCAAATATTTTCTCCCATTCCATAGGTTGTCTTTTCATTTTGTTTATGGTTCTCAGTCATAACTTTTTTTTAAGTCATAAGTTCTTTTTTTTTCGGTATGCGGGCCTCTCACTGCTGCGGGCCTCTCACAGGCTCTGGACACGCAGGCTCAGCGGCCATGGCTCACGGGCCCAGCCACTCTGCGGCATGTGGGATCTTCCCAGTCCGGGGCATGAACCCGCATCCCCTGCATCGGCAGGCGGACTCTCAACCACTGCGCCACCAGGGAAGCCCTAATAAAATTTTTAAATGGCAAAGCCAAAGAATGACAGAACCTGGAGGCAATTAACAAAAGGACTGATAAAACAAATATCATTTACAAAAACAACCTCCAATAGTTAGCTTAAATATCACTGCAAATCCACTTGTAGGGATCTGTGCCAGGGAGACAACTAGGGATGAGCCCAGGTTTGAGTCCAAAGACAGCCACAGTAGCTACAACTGAGTTAGTTATATTGGCCACAGCAGGGATTTAGTTCAAGTGTCAAGTGCTAAGGACATAAGTTTCTGGAGTTCCAAGTGAACATCATTTGGTAAAGTCACTCGGCAGGTTAATCCGCGGATGGCTGATGGGTGGGATCAGGTGGGCTCAAGGGCAGGCAGAGCCACTCCCCCTCCCACCTTCCCATCCCACTGACACTCGGAGCATCTCTTAATTCACCAGGTGCAGCTTAGAGTTGGCTGCATTTGGGTCAGGATGGAGGCGGCGCCGGAAGAGGCTGGGCAGCAGGGTTGAAAACGAAATTGAGGTGGGCCTGCACCGGGCACCTGCCCTGCTTGGGGTGAGGCGCATCCCACAAAGCGGCCAGGCTAGTTCTCCTTCCAATCCCACCCCTGCTTGGTGACTGCTTTGGGGGCACAGGGTTGTGTCCTGGGAAGGGCTAACCCTTTTAGAAAGGAGCTTTGCACCTCTAACCCTGCAGAAATCGGCGCTCAGACACTGTGGGGCTGGAGGAGAGGGACCCGAGGGCACAAAACTGTGGGTGCATCACGCACAGATCTTCCTAATTGCAGAAGAGGAAGGAGGGTAGGTGAGCTGTGTGGGCTTAGGACCAAGACTGGAGATAGGTGGGTGGAGTAGCAGTTCAGAGATGTGTGTGTGTGTGTGTGTGTGTGTGTGTGTGTGTGTGTTAGAGAAAGTCTAGGGGACACCGTGTGTGTGTGTTAGAGAAAGTCTAGGGGACACCGTGTGTGTGTGTGTGTGTGTGTGTGTGTGTTAGAGAAAGTCTAGGGGACACCCAGGCTCCTCACTGTGCTATGGGGATGCCTAGTAGGTAAGAAGAACCCAGTACACACCTGACTTGTACTAGCAAGCACTTTGACCATAGTGTCTCGTGAATCTGTGTGTGGAAAAGAATCATAATCAACAATTTTCTTAAATTCCCATGAGTATCTTCCCAGGTCCCCTGTCTTTTACTACAGGACACTTCTCTGACAATTTAGGGGCAGTCCCTCTTGTTGCTGTGACTGGAAAACGTGTGTAGCTAGAAACCTGATGCTTTATTTGAAGTCGTAGTTTAAAAAAAAGTTCCCAGGCAACTACGCAGAGATGTTTAACAAAACCACGTTTTTTAAGGGCCTCCCCTCTTCAGGGTCATCGCCTTCAGGACAGCAATGACCGGCAGGGCCAGGGTTCGAGCCCGAGGCAGAGCGCGCAATCCAGCATCCGTGGAGCCTGCTAAGCCTGAGGTGGCTAGGGGGTCCTGAAGTACCCAGAACCGACCCACCACGGAGCTTCGCTGACATAGTGAGACGTGGCACAGCAGTGAGCTTCCTAATGTTCCTAAAGATGCCTTGCTGAGTCAGTACAGTTCAGGTTTAGAGTTCTCTCCTGCTGAGAGGGAAGTAATGCATCTTGTAAGAAAAGTCAGATTCCACGGCTGTCGATGTGGGTAGGCTTTATCTACCTGGATATCCTCTCTACCCCTTCCCTTTCATGTGCATCTTCATAGATGCAAACAGACTTTCTTCCAAACCCCAGTGGATGGAAAGTCATCTACATCTCTTGGTCTCAGCCAGTGACTTCTCTTTGGGGAGTGATTTCAAAATGGGCAATTTCAGGCGAGTGTTTGAACAGACTGAGTTGGATAGAATTTTTTAGTCTTGTTTAAAACTTGCTATCCCTGCTGTCTCTACGCACTTCTGTCCTCTCTTATCCCGCATCCACTTTGCATGCTTTAGGGGGTCTTGCTTTGAACTTTGATGGGTCCCAGTGCTGGCCAGCAGTCACATGACCCCATCAGGTCCTGTTTCTTCGCCTCCCCCACCTGCTCAAGCCTCAATCCTTCCTGCTGCTCCTCCCCCGTCTTAATTTTCAGCCTTTAACATCAACTCCTATGTCACTGAGACAAATAAAGCATCAAAGCAGAACTTCAATGCTGTCTTCACTGAATCTCCACATCCTGGCCTTGGCCCCTCACCCGAGACCCTAGGGCACTGGCTCTGCTCCTACCTAAAGGAAAAATCTCCTGGGCCCCTTAGCCAATTCTCTATCCCCTGGCATCTCTCCTGCAATTCTCCTATCTCCCAAGTCCTAGATCATCCCCATCTGCCTACAACCAGCTGAGTTGACTGCCATCCAACGAGAATGCTCTCCTGGATCTGCTTTCCTCACAATTACTTCCTTTCTCTTTGCTTCTCATCAACGAAGTCTTGTCTCTATTCTGAACTCCAATCCTTATCTCCCTCTTGTCCCTTCACTCCAATCAGGTGCTCTCCCCATTGCTCCACTGAAATGGCTCTTGTCAGGCTTCCTCAGTATCCTCCACTTTGTCAAATCCCCAGGTCCGTCCTAGGTCTTGCCTATCACTTGTACTTGGAATAGTTGAGCCCTCCTTTCTCCTTGATTAACTCCTTCCATGTAGTGGTCAGGTCACCACACACCCTTGGTTTTCCGCCAACCTCACTGGCCACTGCTGTAGCTTCCCTTGGCTGGGTTCTCCTCCTGTCCTGTCCATATGCCCAGGACCTAGTCCTTGGGCCTCTTCTCCTTGGTACATGCACTCACACCCTTGGTCATCTTTTCAGTATCATGGCTTTAGGTGCAATCTGGTATGTGGACAAGTTCCCTCTCCTGCACTAAACGAACATCCCCATGCATGTCTCACGCTCCTGATTTGTCCTCCCAGACAATTCCTAACTACTTCATCTGATGAAATCCCTTTCTTCCAGTTGTTTAGGCCAAAGTCTTTGGATTCATCCTCTCTTGACCTCAAACCCTTCACATAAACAACCAGGAAATACTGTTGTCCCTGACGTTCAAAAAATATCCAGTCTCTGATCATTTCTCATCCCCTCTATTACTACCCTCTGGGCCAAACCACCAGCATCCCTGGCTGGACCCCACAAATGGCCTCATAACTGGTCTTCTTGCTTCTGCCCTGGTCTCATCCTCAGTCTGTTCTCAGCACAGAGCCAGTAAATTGGATTCACGTTCAACCCACAGCCTGTAAGAGTTCCCATTTTCTCAGAGTCACAGGAGATTTCCTTAACATGGCCTCCCTCCCACTACCTCTCCGGGTCCCCCTGCTTCCCCCTCCCTTGTTCATCTTGCTCTCCCTTCAACATTTCTTCCTTAGGAGCTTGCTCTTTCCTCCACTTGAGGTTTGTGTAACCTTGTTAACTCACTGCCTCTGAGTCTTTGTTTCAGCGTCAACTTTGCACTGAGGCTCTGCTTTGTCTCCCATGAATTAATGCAACCAGCCCTTTTCATACCCCACCTTCCCAATAACTCCCAATTTTCCATACTTGGCTTTGTTCTACTTTTTTCATTTCCCTAGCAATTATCATATTCATGCCATATAAGTTAGTCATCAATTTATTTTCTGTCACTGGAATATGAGATTTTCAAGGAAGTTCCTTTGCTTTATGCTCTGATACATGCATCGTGGCACATGGCAGGCATATGATAATTTTTGGGTGACGGTCGAACATATGGATAACATTACTCTTTATTTTTATCTCCAAAAACTTGCAGGCTCAGCAACCTCATCAAATCCAGCCTAGACTCAAGCAGCTGTGGGGTGTTAGCCACGTGGCTGGGGCTGGACCACCAACAGAAGCAGAAGGAACACCGCAGCCTTCAGGTAAAAAGAGGGAAGAAGAAAGATATGCTGAGGGGCAGAGGATACTTAATATGTGACGGTACATGACAGCGATAAAATTCTAGACAGATAGCCTCGGTGTTCCCGTGATGTTTGGCAGGATGGGAAGAAGGTACAGCTCTCAACTATCTCCTGCAGTGAATTATCTGGCTATCAATGCTTTATTCCCCTTATACTTTAAGGCTTATGGAAAAAGAAATAGAGGTCATTATTCATTAGCTAATTCAATGTAATTGCTTTTCAAATTTAGAAAATGCATTGATATGACAACTATAAGTTAACTAGTTCGGGGAACAAGATTTTTCTTGGGTTCGTGAATCGCTATACTGAAAGGTTGAGCAGTTCCTCAAATGTTTACCTACATTGTATTATCCTCACAGGTGAACGGTTATCATTATACAGGTAAGCCCACAGACTCAGATGTTGTCGTTTGCCAAGGATTTGGGTAATGCAGTGAAACCTTAGATCTGATTCTCCAACCACCTTTTTAAAACATTTTTTAAATTTTTATTGTAGTAAGAACAATAGAGCTCTGCCCTCTTATTGTATTTTTAAATGTACAGCACAGTATTAACTATAGGCACAATGTTGTACCGCAGGTCTCAAGAACTAACTTATCTTGCATAACTCTAATTTTACACCTGTTGATTAGCAAATCCCTATCTCCCCTCTCCCACTCCCTGAAAAGCACCATTCTACTCTCCGCTTCTGAGTGTGACTATTTTCAATGTATAAGTGGAATTATGCAGTATTTGTCCTTTTGTGACTGTCTTCAAGGTTCATTCATGTTGTTACATATTGCAAGATTTTTCTAAAATTTATTTTTATTTATTTTTGGCTTCATTGGGTCTTCGTTGCTATGCCTGGGCTTTCTCTAGTTGTGGCGAGCGGGGGCTACTCTTTGTTGTGGTGCATAGGCTTCTCATTGTGGTGGCTTCTCTTGTGGAGCATGGGTTCTAGGCGTGCGGGCTTCAGTAGTTGTGGCACGTGGGCTCAGTAGTTGTGGTGCACGGGCTTAGTTGCTCCGCGGCATGTGGGATCTTCCCGGACCAGGGCTTAAACTATTATATATACTCATATGTGAGGATATATATGATATATACATATATCATATATATGGGCAAAGGATCTGAATAGACATTTCTCCAAATAAAATATACAAATGGCCAATAATCACATGAGAAGATGCTCAACATCATCAGCCATCAGGGAAATGCAAATTAAAGCCACAATGAAATGCCACTTCCTATCTACTAGGATTGCTAAAAGTTAAAAAGGAAGATGTTAACAAGTGTTGGCAAGGATGTGGAAAAATTGAAACCAACCATTATACACTGCTGGTATAAGTATGGCCTCTTTGGGAAACAGTCTGGCATTTCCTCAATGTGCTAAATATAGCATTACCATACGACCCAGCAATTCCACTCCAGGTTATATACCCAAAAGAAATAAAAACATATCCACCACAATTGGTATATGAATGTCCACAACATCACAATTCATACTAGCTTGAGCATAAACAACCCAAATGTTCATCAACTGGTACATGGATAAACACAAATGTGGTATATCTATACAATGATATATTATTTGTCAATAAAATGGAATGAAGTAGCAATACATGCTACAGCATGAATGAACCCTGAAAATATTATGCTAAGTGAAAGAAGCCAGTCAGGGAAGATCACATATTATATGACTCAATTTATATGAAATGTGATGAGTAGGCAAATGCATAGGGACAGTAAGTGAACTAGTGGTGGTTTAAGGACCGGGGGAATTGGGTGGAAACAAGGAGTGACTGCTCATTGTTCAGGTGTTTCTTCTTTGGGTGATGAAAATATTCTAAAATCGCGTGATGGTTGCACCACTCAGTAAGTATACTAAAAACCATTGGACTGCACACTTAAATGGCTGAATTGCATGTTATGTGAATTAATCTTAGTAAAGCTATATATCCTGCAATTACCTGTAGGATTTTAAACCACTTCTTTCTTACATGCTTCCATGCAATAACGTCAGGAATAATACCATATATTACGATTATTCCACAGGTATGACAACAGAACCTATAGGGTGGATGGTATTACTTGGGAGAAGCCTCCCAGCTCTACATTTACAAGATCGGATGGCAGTGAAACCTCCTTTGTAGACTGTTACAGGGAGGTATGAAATTTTATTTCTTCAAACATACTTGTCTTAAAATTTTTCATATTATACAGTTAAGTATATTTCTCAAGTCTTATTTAGACACATATATATGTATTTGTATATATTCTCCTTTTGGGGTATTATAGCTTGGCTTATATCTATTATCCATGTATAGAGTGTTTTGTGTATAGGGTAATGTCACATAATTAGAATGGCTCCAAGATGGCCCTCCCTGTCAGGCTTAGAAGTGGCTATGGTAGTTTTGAACATGTAAATGGATTGTTAGGTAGAAAATAAAATATGGTAAGACTTCAGGAATGAGAACTTTATGTAGGAGTTTCAGCCCTACAGAACTTGGTTCAAAAAGAAGAAAAAAATGACCAATTACAATCTGAAATGATGTCTATTACGTGCTAAATCTCATAATCTCCGTTGCTGTGCACGGGCTTTCTCTAGTTTCGGCGAGTAGGGAATACTCTTCATTGCGGTGCGTGGTCTTCTCATTGCGGTGGCTTAGTTGCTCTGCGACATGTGGGATCTTCCCGGACCACGGAACGAACCCGCGTGCCCTGCATTGTCAGGCGGATTCTTAACCACTGCGCCACCAGGGAAGTCCTTCCTTTTTTTTTTTTTTTGCGGTACGTGGGCCTCTCACTGCTGTGGCCTCTCCTGTTGCGGAGCACAGGCTCCGGACGCGCAGGCTCAGCGGCCATGGCTCACGGGCCCAGCCGCTCCGCGGCATGTGGGATCTTCCCGGACCGCAGCACGAACCCGCGTCCCCTGCATCGGCAGGCTGAGTCTCAACCACTGCACCACCAGGGAAGCCCTCCCTCCTATATTTTTAATTTGCGTGCTCACAAATAAACTCAGGCCAGTTGGTGAGGTTGGTTTTCTAGCTTTAGCAGATGAGAGAAAGGTAATTAAAGGAATGGCAGATATTTGTGGCAAATGGAAAGAACTTATAAATGGATGTTTTAAAAAAAGCTTGTATTATATTGGGACTCAAAACATAGCTACTTGGAACAATTGCAGGTACACAGCCCTCTGACATCCCTTCAAGGGAGGGTTATTATGACATTATCCTCATTTGTGTTTCACACTTATTACTTGTTCATTCAATCCCAAGAGCATTTAGTGCCTATTGTATATCTTGGGTATACATTAGTAAGACAATTTAGTTCTCAGCTCTTAAGGCACTTGCATTCTCATGGCAGACAGAGAGATGACAAACAAGAAGAAAACTATTCTAACAGTTATAAGGGATATGGAGATAATTAAAATCGGGTGGTATTATGGAGAATACCTGGTGGCTATTAGTCTGCAAGGTCATGGAAAGCTTCTCTGCGAAGCTGATATGTAAATGGAAGCAAGGAGCAAGCTAGGTGCGGATGAGGGAGAAGAGGTAGTACAAAGGCACTATTTTCGGGGTGGGCATTGTGTACCCAGAGCCCAAACTAGGCTGGAGTGTTCTCTAGAGAAGTAAATTGGATTTTATTGTCAAATCATATTGTGTAGATATTTGTAAGATTTCTGTCTAATATACAGAGAATGGGCTGTATGGGGGTAAAAATGGAGGCAGGGAAACCAGTGAGGAGGTTATTAAATCAGTTGACTTAAATGATGATGGTGGCCTGGAGCAGGGTGGGAGAAGTAGGTGAAAATGGAGAGGACATAGTGAAGGCTTGGTTGTAATAAGTGAGGGGATTGTTCTGGGATGAGATAGGCACAGATGGAATTGCAAACTGATATATCAGTAAGTTAATTTTAAAAGGCTTATTTCTGGCTTGAATAAAGTCTAATGAGAGTCAGGGAGACTCAGTGATCTCATCTGTTACCATTTTGTGGCTCTACCATCTCAACAAGAGGACTCCAAGGTTGTCATGTTAGAAGAAAAGAGGTAGAAGCAGCATACTGGCTCTTAGGTCCCTTAGACTGAAAGTGATAGGCTGATGCACTACTTTCACTCATATTTCTTTGTTAAAATTCAGTCCTACAGCCTGAACCTACCTAAGTGGACACTCTTTTCTTTCGTGTACAGATGTGGTGAGTTCAGTATCATCTCTCTGCCAAAGGGTGTAAATAAAGTATGCTCTTTGGGCATGCGGATGAGTCAGGAGTCCCAGGGTGTAAAGCCTGGAGTTTTCATTTTGGGAATTATTAGCTCTTACCTAGTCCTTGGATTTTGATAATCAGTCACCTAGGCAGAATATATAGATGACCAAGAGAATGAAATATTTCAGGAAAGAAGGATATGCGTCTCTGTAGAATGTTAAGATGAGGTTAAATGAGAGTGTATACATATGCCCCAATTCACCAAACTGTACCCATTATGGGCAGATTTTTGTATACCAATTATACCTCAATAGAGCTGGGGGAAAAACACACAGTGAAGAGTACATTGAGTTTGATAGCATGGAGTTCACTGCCAAGAGCAAATTGTGTAATGGTGGCAATTGAAGTCCAGGTGGAAGGTACTGAAGGAAAAATTTAGCAACGCTTGCTGTAGAAGGGAAGAGAAATGTTATGTAGATGAAGGATTTTTTTAAGTTAGAGAATACTACAGTATGTGTTTATCCTGGTATAAATTGTCCGATAGAGAAGGAGAAATTGTTAATACAGAAGGCAAGATAAATGAGGGGTAATGATAGGAACAAAATCCCTGAAGGAAAGAAGAGGTTAGAATCCATAGCTGTGGTAGAGATTACGGACCCTTTTCTGGAGCAGGACATATCCTCCATAGTAATCGGAAGGCAAGAAGAACATACATATGTGTAGAGAGAAGGCAAACACCGGGCAGAATATAAGTGTATTCCTGTCTGAATCCTCAGATATTCACTTCTCAGTGAAGTATGAAGCAAGATCACCGGCTGAGTTAGTTGATGGGCAGCGATGAGGGAGATGTATAGGAGATTTGAGAAGAGATGAGAAAGTGTGAAATGTTGGTTTTTTGAATGGGTAGGAAGCATAACTAGGGCATCTGAACAGAGCACCCCTTTTAGATTGTGGCAGACTAACTCTAGAACCACTCAGCAGGGTTTGGCTGTTGGTTGCATGGGCAGAACAGACAGCTGGGTTTTACCAGGGTTTGAGACTTGCCAACGTAGCATGATCAAGGCATAGTCAAGGAATGAATGGTATTTGTGAGGACGTAATTGTGACAGGCTATGGAATGCAAGCTGGGGAAGTAAGGGAGGTGACGCTGTGAGAGAGTTAAGGACCTCTCTCCTCAATTTATGTGTGCTGATTCCTCCACCTAGGCTGACGTTTGCTTGTTCATCCTACAAATTTTATCTCAAAGATCTTTGACTAAGAAGAGCCGCTCTGGGTCCGTCCATGTTGCTGCTAATGGCATTATTTCATTCTTTTTTATGGCTGAGTAATATTCAATTGTGTGTGTATGTGTGTATACACCACATCTTCTTTATCCATTCATCTGTCGATGGACATATGGTATTACTTATATGTGCAATCTAAAATATGACACAAATGAACATATCTATGAAACAAACAGACTCACAGATACAGAGAATAGACTTGTGGTTTCCAAGTGGGAGGGAGTGGGGGAGGGAAAGATTGGGAGTTTGGGATTAGCAGATGCAAACTATTATATATAGGATGGAACGACAACAAGGTCCTACTGCATAGCACAGGGAGCTATATTCAATATCCTGTGATAAACCATAATGGAAAAGAATATGAAAAAGAATATACATATGTATAACTGAGTCACTTTGCTATATAGCACAAATTAATACCATATTGTAAATCAACTATACTTCATAAAATGTTTTTAAAAAGAGCCATTCTGGATAACCCAACAGTACCCCTCCCTCTCGTGCATACACTGACCTGCAACATCAGGCCTCTGTGAGGTCACCCTGTTCTGTTATGTACTTGTATTTCATAACACTTATCCCAGTTTGTAATTATATATTTGGGTGATTTTATTAATCTCTCCCCTCCCCAACAGACTATGAGTTTCATAGGACTAGGAGAGCTATGATTCTGCTCTTTGCAATACATATCTCTTATACCTTACACCATGACTGGCACATAGTAGTTCATACACATAGGTTGTAATAGATAATTCATGCATGTTAGCATCACAGAGTAGTGGGATTAGTAATAATTTGAGGGAGTGTGTCACATTAAGGCAAACTACCTTCATGGCATGTGTTGATATATAGAGTCTTACATGTAAACGTAAGAAAATGGTTCCAGCAGATTTACTTGAGTGAAATGGATGTGCTGAAATAGTTGAATGACTAGGGTAGTCTCAGGATGCCCTGGTGGGAACTGAGTCTCATAAGAGATGACAACTTTGTCATAGGGTTGTAATGAGATCTGGGGAAAACTGCTGAATTCATAGATGAGGCATTAGAAAGTAAGCGCAATCCTACCTTTCAAATAATGGAAATAGGGACAACAGAACTGACTTGTTTTTTGGACCTAAAACAATAGACTGCAGGTTTTTTCTTCAGCAAAGATGGGTTGATTTGGGATCAGTGGAGAATTGCAATTTGGGGTCTGCAACCCTGGCGAGCCACGTGCAAGTCCCACTTGATGAGGAAAGGAGAACCCCTTCATAGAAGAGAAAAGCAAGTTGGAAGGGCTTTAGTAAACAAAGAGTCCATTGCTTTTCATTGGCCAAGGTCTTGCCAGGGAAGAAAAGAAGTCTTTCTTCTTCTTGTTGGGCTCTGCTATCGTTGCAGGGTATGAGAGCTCCCCCTCTGGTCTCCTGACTCTATTTAATTGAGGTTTGTTTATTTTTTACAAAAGCTATAAGAAATGGGAAGTGTGATTTCCAAAGTTCATAGTTGGGGGTTAAAGAAATATTAGGAGAACACCATGGGCTAGAGTGGGCCACTAAGTTTGAAATAGGTTGTTTATATTTTTCTAAAAACTGGTTAGTGTGGTGAATTATAGTGTGGTGAATATTTCTCTTAGTCCACGCAGGTAATGCATTTAATAAAATCTCATACTTTTTCATGTGAAAAGAAAAACTCACTTAATCTACAATGAGAAAAGAATTACCCTAATCTGAAAAAGAACGTCTGCCAAAAACTTCTATAAGCATCATTATGTTAAAAAGAATATACTGGGCTTCCCTGGTGGCGCAGTGGTTGAGAGTCCGCCTGCTGATGTAGGGAACACGGATTCGTGCCCCGGTCTGGGAGGATCCCACGTGCCGTGAAGCGGCTGGGCCCGTGAGCCATGGCCGCTGAGCCTGCACGTCCGGAGCCTGTGCTCCGCAATGGGAGAGGCCACAGCAGCGAGAGGCCCGCGTACCACAAAAAAAAAAAAAAAATATATATATATATATATATATATACACTGATGATTTTTCCCATTAGTCAGAAACAAGCCAAGCAGTAGCCTCTCTTCCTAACTGCTCAGTGTCCTACTGGAGGTCCTGGCGAGGGTTTGGAAACTTGCTCTGCTGCTTGTAAATCAGGCAGTTTCCACAACAGCCCCCAAGCTTGTTTGCTGGTGGGGGCACATAACAGTATTTATCTCAGTTGATTGGTGAGAGAATTAACTGAATCAAGTAGAATGCTTGGGAAGTGCCCCACACACAGCGATCATCCCATCGACGGTGACTGTCCTGAGGACGGTATAGTTCAGTCTATGTTTTTAACCCATCCATGTTGACTTCATGATAAACTTCTGGAAATGGAACGACTCCTGGGAATGGAATGACTAGGATGAAAGCGTTTTGCAAGTTTAAAGGATCGATGCATATTTCCAAATGCCTGTCTCGCAGCCTGTCTCTTCCATACACTCACACTCACACTTGTTGAATGCAGTGTGATTCTAGACCCTTCACCCTCATGGATTCAGATGTCTATTTAATAGTCTCTACTTTGTCAGTGCTCCACCTATATAGCTTCCTCGACACGCATCCATTTCTCACGTCACTGCATTCTTGCATTTTGGGGAATGTCATGTTTGCTTTCTTTCAAGGTCCTTTTCTTGCTGCCCACTGAAAATAAAGAAATTTGTGATGGCATAAAAAGACACCTGTGTGTCAATTACCCGATTCCAAGCCAGTGTGTGCTGAAACGGACCTTAGAGAGACCACCGCTACAAAGATTGCCCTGCAGATGAACTGCAAGCTAGGAGGTGCCCTCTGGAAGGTGGATAGAGAAGTACGTGGGGATTTTGTTGCCTTCTCTTGCTTTCATCTATCTTTGGTAGAATTTGTTATGGTCCTACTTAATTGGAAATTTGCTTCGTGTTCTAACTCAATCTGCTACCTTGTTTAAAATTTAAGTTGCAGAATGCAATGTTCATCGGTATCGATTGTTTCCACGGTATTGTACATCGATGGAAGTCAGTCGCAGGATTTGTGGCAAGCATCGATCCAGACTTGACGCGGTGGGTAAGCTTTGGCAGACAGTGTTTAGTGGGGAGCTATCTGGAGGCCAGATAGGAGAGGTGGACTTAACACACATTATTGGCAAGCTCCATGGACAAGTTGTTCTTAGAGATGTGCTCTCCTGATCTTCTGGCAAAGTTAGGCTCCCAGAACATTTTGTATGGAAGCCTCTGATCATTCTCTATTCCTGCCTAACAACCATGACAAAATATGGCAACTTAAGACGACACTCACATGACCATGGACAGTCCTGTGGGTCAGATGTTGGGCACTGCATGGCTCTCAGGGCCTTACAAGGCCGAGATTTTGTTTGTTTTTTTGGCTGCACTGCGCAGCATGCGGGATCTTAGTTCCCCGACCAGGGATCGAACCCATGGCCCCTGCGGAGGAAGTGCAGATTCTTAAACAATGGAGCACCAGGGAAGTCCCAAGGCTGAGTGAAAAGTGTCACATAAGCCACATTCTCACCTGGAGGCTTGGGATCCTCTTCCCAGCATACGTCGATGTGGCAGAGTCAATTTTCTTTTGATTGTGGGACAGAGGACCCCACTTCCTTGCTGGCTGTCACCTACAGCTAGTCTCAGCTTCTAGAGTTTCATCCACGTTCCTTCTGATGTGCTCCCTGCCTCCCCTCCAACTTCCAACCCGCCAATTCACACTGTGCTATTGTTCTCTTTTGAATCTCTCCATCTTCCTCTTCTGTCATCAGCCAAAGAAAACTTGCTGATTTTAAAGGAGCTCATGAGGTCAGATATCATCCATCTGGAGACTCTCCTTATCCTAAAGTCAACTGTGCCATATAACATCACCACAGGGGCCAGATCTCAGTATGTTCACAAGTTCCAAGGATGAGGACAGGTAGAATTCTGCCAACCGCAGAATTTGATCAGTAAGCCTCTGCATAGGGACACATGAGGAAGCACTTAGGATATATGTGGGTGAAGACACATATTATACCTTCAGTGGCCTGTAGGTATAATAAGATCTTGTCTTCATACATTTGTATATAATGTACCTGAATAAGGAGATGTGCTTCTATATCCTATGATTCTCCTTTTCTCCAGGGACCTTTTATTTTCTGTGCTTAGAGTAGAAAATAAAACCCATAGTGCAGATGGGTCTGCATATTCTTCTCCTGTGCATTATGGTATGTGGGACAGTCACAAACCACTACTATGTTCAATGCTGTTTGTGGCCCACCAGGTATAATTCCACAGTATCCTTTAAGGATCTTTTTTTTTCTAGTCATACTCTAAATACAGTAACATGGATTTACTCTGCCTTTTTTAGTAGAAAATGCTGTGATAATAGGTAAAAAGTTAAGCTTGCATTCATGCAATAGATATTTTTGAGCACTTGCTATGTGTAAATACTGAGAATGCAGCAGTGAAGATATAAAGCCAAAATACCTGATCCCATCCATTGGAGTACAGATTCAGATGAAGAGGCAAACATACATCATACCCTATCACGTCATCCTAATACTCTGAAGTAAACAAAAACGCAATAAGGGGATAGAAACTCGAGACAAACAGGTGATTTTACTCGATACCTCGAGCAGTGGTCACAATAGCTATTACTGTTTTGAAGCAAACTGCTCCCTCCAAAGCAGATTCATGTGGATGAACCATTGTTTAAGACACTGAACTAAAGTAGGAGTCTCCAGAAAAACACTGGGTTTGCACTTTGTGGGATTCCCCAGGAGCTGAAACAATATGAGTCATATGTATTCAAAGCATGTATAATTTGTAGTTAACGTTAACAAATGTTTCCATTCTATCTTAGTCCTTCTGTGCATTCAAAACGTTACAAAATGCCTAAGATATGTGAAGAGACCAATACCTGGATCTCTGCAGCGGGATGAAGAATGGATCTTTAGGGCTTCCCTGGTGGCGCAGTGGTTGAGAGTCCGCCTACCGATGCAAGGGACACGGGTTCGTGCCCCGGTCCGGGAAGATCCCACATGCCGCGGAGCGGCTGGGCCCGTGAGCCATGGCCGCTGAGCCTGCGCGTCCGGAGCCTGTGCTCCGCAACGGGAGAGGCCACAACAGTGAGAGGCCCGTGTACAGCAAAAAAAAAAAAAAAGGATCTTTAATTGGATCCTCAACTACTGATAGTGAATTTTTTTTTGGTCATAGATTAATGTCATCATTTTGATTCTGAATTAATCTTGTTTTCCAAACTAATGGCTTATTTTTCTCCATACAGGTGGTTCTCTCAATGCATCATCCAGCAATCGGGGCAGGAGCTTGTCAATGGGCTGACGACCTGCTTGCACAGTCAGTGCCTGGTGGAGGCTGGAGGGCTTGAGTCTATACTGGTGGAGATACTGCTCCCCCACCTGGGACATCTGGCAATGAGTGAAGACACTTTTGGTTGTCACAATGGGGATAGAGGTGCTATTGGCATCTAGTGGACAGAAGTTTAGGGATGCTGTTAAATGTCTTACCATGCATGGGACAGCAACACTCCCTGCCCCTGACCACCACAAAGAATTATCTGGCTCAAAATTTTCATACTCTTGTTAAGTATGGACTAGACTGAGGACTTAAGCAGTGTCCTGAAAGCTACCATGTTGACAAATGAACACAGAAGTTGTCAAAAATAGTGGCCACTTTGTTCCAAGTTATGGTTTATTTATATGTGTTTCTGACTTCCTTTCAGCTGCCTTGAAGCTCTGGTATGAACAAAATTCATCTCTGCCACATTCACCATTGTGTATCGAGATGGAGTGGGAGATGGACAGCTTCAAGCACTGACTGACCAAGAACTAAGACAGATGGAGTCCTACTTAGAAAATGCTTACAGAGGACAAAAGTGGGTATATTACTCTTGAAGTGCAGATTTTGTAAGCTTTACATTTTAGTTTCCGGGGGCAGGGGGAAATATCTACAACAATTGTGATGTGTGAATTGGAAAGCTGGATACAGAGGGCTTCAGTGGATGGGGTGGGGAGAAAAAACAGACCCTTCCCCCTTTGTGTTCCACGCCCACGTCAGAGGAGAAAGCAGAACTGAAGCCTTGCAGTAGCAGGTTGTTTCCCCATATGGAACCCCATGATTCTTTCTCTGTTTCCAATCTCCTTCCAAACCTTGATGGAGGAGGGCTTGCTAACCTCAGATATTCCTAAAAGTCCATGAACATAGCCAATCAATGGTTTGTACTTATCCAGCTCCTTTATCCTGGAGTTCTGTACGTCCCAGGACTGGGGATTACTCTCAGTTCCCTTCTCTGGCCTCACCTGTTTGTCAGTGAAGCCTGGTGCCCAGCATAGACAGTACAAGTAATCCTGACCTTGGGAGGAAGGGACCCTTCCCCTAGGATCTGAATGGCTATGAATAGAAACCTCCTCCTTTACTTCCTGAATTAGGCTCTTGGATCTAAGACAGTAAAATTGGGGTGTGTGGAGAGCTAACATCTGCAGACTCCTTTTAATGACTCCTACGTGTGGGCTGTTTTCGACATTCTGAATGCTTCTGAGATAACGCAGAGCAAACAGAGTGACACTGATCATAATCTTTTAAGTATCAGAGTAACTTTCATCGTGGTGAAGAAACAAATAAACATCAGATTTTTTATTGAAAAGGATGAAGGAAGACTTGACAATCCATCTCCAGGAACGGTTATTGATTTAGAGGTGACTAGGATGGAATGGTAAGCCATCTTTATTTTAAAGATTCCTTTTTATTCAAATAGTAACAGAATTTTTTAAGGTTTGCATGATTTGGACGAGAAAGGGAAGAATTGACCTAAAGAAGGTTAAAAATGATAGGTATATTAGATGATAATTTTTTCTGTCTTCAATCATTTTGTTTCTCAGAGAATTTTATTTTTTTTTAATTATTATTATTTTTTTGCGGTACGCGGGCCTCTCACTGCTGTGGCCTCTCTTGCTGCGGAGCACAGGCTCCAGACGCGCAGGCTCAGCGGCCATGGCTCACGGGCCCAGCTGCTCCGCGGCATGTGGGATCTTCCCGGACTGGGGCACGAACCTGTGTCCCCTGCATCGGCAGGCGGACTCCCAACCACTGCGCCACCAGGGAAGCCCTCTCAGAGAATTTTAAAAACAGACAAATATTTATTGATCATTCTAAGATGATTCCGTTGTTAGGAAGAAGGCTAGAACTTCTGGTTAACTTTAGACTTGTAAAGTGAATTATGCAAATGAGAAAGTTATGCAAAACCACAGCAAGAAATAAAACAGGACATTCATACCAACAGATAGGGAGAAATGAATTAAGTTTGAAGAAAGGCAGAAACACTGATTTTTCTAGTAGAAGGCATGAAAGGATTGAAGAAAACAAAGCAAATGAAAAGTACAATTAACATAAAGTATAACATAAAATGATATAAACATTCAATATTTACAATAAATTGGTTAAGCTTACCACTTATATAACTTAGGGAGTTTGAATATATTCTGGTGATATGCAGGGATGGATATTCCCATCTTTCCCTGAATCTCTGAATCACATTACCTATGACCATGTCTAACGTGCTAATTTGAGGTTTGCTGCCTCTAGGCATCAGTGCATATGCTTTTGAGTTTAAATCCCATGAGCGTTATTAATTGTCAATGATTTCACTGTCCTTTGTAGATTTGCTTTAGCAAATCATTGCTCAACAGTTAGCCAGGCTTCTAAATATAAAGGAAACTCTGTATCATAGATTTCTGTAAATTGTTACTTCAGAGACTAGGTTTGCTACATTGTTTTTCTTCTAAAATAAGCTTGATACCAATTAGGTTCTATAATTCTAGGTATGACTTTTTTATTGTGAGTCAGTCTGTGAAAGAAGGCACTGGTACTGTCACTCCCACTCATTATAATGTCATCCATGACACGCTTTACTTGAGCCCAGATGCAGTACAGAGTCTAACTTACAAACTATGCCACATGTATTACAATTTTTCAGTAAGTACTTTTTTTCTTTAATTTGGTAACGTGCATCTGTTAATCCTATACTCCTAATTTATCCCTCCCCCCTGCAGTTTCTTCTTTGGTAACCATAGGTTTGTTTTCTGTGTCTGTGAGTCTGTTTCTACTTTGTAAATAAAAATAAGTTCATTTGTATGCTATTTTTTAGGTTCTACATGTAAGTGATATCAAATAATATTTGTCTGTGATTTACTTCACTTAGTATGATAATATCTAGGTCCATCCATGTTACTGCAAGTGGCATTATTGCATTCTTTCTGAATGAGTACTATTCTATTGTATACACATACCACATCTTTGTCCATTCATCTGCTGATGGACATTTAGGTTGCTTTTGTGTCTTGGCTATTGTAAATAGTGCTGCTATGAACATTGGGGTACATGCATATTTTTGAATTAGAGCTTCCGTCTTTTCTGGATATACGCCCAGGAGTGGGATTGCTGGGTCATATGGTAGCTCTGTTTTTAGTTTTAAGGAGCCACCATACTGTTCTCCATAGTGGCTGTGGTAAGTATTTTTTGATACTGATTTTCCTTCAGATCTGTGAAACTGTTCAAAATTGAATCTGCTTTTTGAACCTTGGATATCTATAAAAATTTAAACTTAGGGAAAGTAGACATAAAGGTGAGAAAATTGTTTTGGTTGATCTTTCTCCTAAAGGGTATCATCTGAGTCCCTGCTCCTTGCCATTATGCCCATAAGCTGGCTTACCTGGTGGGCCAGAGTCTTCACCAAGAACCACATGGGTCTCTGTCAAAACGTCTCTTTTACCTTTAACATAGAGAAGAAAGCATGATGGGATGTTGAAAACCACAATTTGTAAATTTATTTTCTCATTCTGCATCTGTATATCTGAAATTTTTTCCTAGATGCACGATCAGAGTTTAAAACCATTCTTGACTGGACATGGACGAGACTCCAAGTGTGTTATGCTATTTTCAATACTACCACTAACTTAACATGAGGCTTCTCTTCTCCAGGCTGGAGAACTGACAGTGAGAGTTTTGTTTTAGAATTTACCTCTCAAATGTGTTACAAGGACTTTATGATTAAATATGCCTGAATATTCTGTACTCCAAGCAATGCTGCTCTAATTGTAAAGGTTGGGGGACTTCCCTGGTGGTGCAGTGGTTAAGAATCCACCTGCCAATGCAGGGGACACTGGTTCGAGCCCTGGTCCAGGAAGATCCCACATGCCGTGGCGCAACAAAGCCCATGCGCCACAACTACTGAGCCTGTGCTCTAGAGCCCACGAGCCACGACTACTGAGCCCACATGCCACAACTACTGAAGCCCATGTACACTAGGGCCCATTCCCCGCAACAAGAGAAGCCACCGCAATGAGAAGCCCACGCACCACAATGAAGAGTAGCCCCCACTCACCACAACTAGAGAAAAGCCTGCACACACCAATGAAGACACAACGCAGCCAAAAATAAATTAATTAATTTTAAAAAAAGGTTGGGCATTAGTCACATGGAGAATATATATATCTATGAACAAGTAAATTCTACTTGGAAAATCATACGCACTTTATTTTTGTAACATCCTTTTTCTCAAGGACAGCGAAGACATAAAAGTGGCAAAATTAAATGGGAATTTATTTGTGTTTAATATTTTGTATGAAAGAAACAACCTATATATGAAATAGTTTGTTCTTTGTACCTGCATGGCAATCTGAATTTTTTCTGGTGGAGCTGTAGTAAGGAGAGCTTTGCGATTTAAAAGTTGGTGGCTCAGGAATGTAACATTTTGTCACTTTTTCCACAAAGAAGGTAAATTAAGGGCTTTGTTAGCATTTCTGTTTAATTCATTCTCTTGTGCATGTTCTAAGTGTGACATTATTGTGTTAGCTGTACCATCATCAGAAGAAAGTCTTGAATAAGTTGTTTAAATGAAGCTATCATGTTTTTCCTGAAAGCAGACACAATTTTTTTCTCTCTCCACTTAAAACTATCTGTAAATAGACTTAAGAAACAATATGTGGGACTTCCCTGTGGCTCAGTGGTTAAGAATCCGCCTGTCAATGCAAGGGACACGGGTTCAAGCCCTGGTCTGGGAAGACCCCACATGCCGCAGAGCAGCTAAGCCCGGGCGTGACAACTACTGAGCCTGCGCTCTGGAGCCCGCGAGCCACAACTACTGAGCCCACGCACCACAACTACTGAAGCCCACACGCCTAGAGCCTGTGCTCCACAACGAGAAGCCACCGCAATGAGAAGCCCACGCACCATGACAAAGAGTAACCCCCGCTCACCGCAACTAGAGAAAGCCCGCACACAGCAACAAAGACCCAACGTAGCCAAAAATAAATAAATAAATAACTTAATTAACTAAAAAAACAATATGTGAAACTTTCATTCTCTTATACTCCTAGAGTGGTATTTTTTCCTTTTGAGGTAGGGTAGTTAGGGGGCTTCAAATACGTCGGAAAGGATATGTTTAAAAACAATATAATTGCTTTGATTATAGGTTAATCAATTTAGGTTTGCAATTTGAACCCATCTTATAAGAAATAAAATTAAAACAAGTCTTTTAAATATACTGTAATCCAGGTAACGTCCTACCTAGCTGTATTGCTAATAATGATAAATATAGGATATGGTCTCCATGATTAAAGATAACACATTCTTTTCTAAAGCTAGAATTTGATTTATGATAATACATTTATGGTAGTACATTTTTAGAGAGCTACAAAAATCACTTGGAACAAATTCAAAGTAATGAGCACTTTCTGAACATTTCCTATAAATGCAATACAAATATTATTCATAAAACTATAATGTCTAGAATTATAAATTTAAAATGTGATTCAATAAAGGTATTCATGTTAAAATCACTGAATTCAGTCTTGTTCTTAAAAATATGGTCTTAGGCTTCTTAATCTACTGATTAGAAAAAATTGTTGCTTTTGTAAGATGAACAGAAGTATTGTGACCAGGACACCATCTGACTTTATTAGCCTACTAGTCCTTTATAAATTAGATGAAGGAAACTGGGTATCAAATATTTCTAGGAGAAAGCTTTATTGTTCCAAAGGCTTACAGATAGACTTTCTCCAGTGTATCATAGTACCTAAGTTTCACGTTACTGAGTAGGTTAGGAATGAATTTGGCCTAAGCAGCAATACAATATATAATCTAAGAATAATGAATTTCCTGACTCTGAGTTAGAGGTCTGATGTGGGCATTACTGGGCTAAAATAAATGTCAGCAGGGCTGCATTCCTTTCTGGAGGCTCTAGGAGTCTGTTTCCTTCATTCTAGCTTCCAGAAGTTGTCTGCATTCCTTGCCTCCTGGCCCCGCTTCCATCTTCAAAGCCTGCAATGGCCAATGGAGTCATTCTCATATCCCACTGACACTGATTCTTCTGCCTCCCACTTCCACTTTTAATGGCCCTTGTGATGATGTTGGGACCGCTTGGATAATCCAAGATATTCTCCCTATTTTAATGTTAGCTGATAGGCAGCCTAGCTCCATCTGCAACCTTAATTCCCTTTCCCCATATAAGGCAACATTTGGGTAGAATCCAAGGATTAGAATATAGACATCTTTGGAGGGGCCATCAACCTGCCACAGAGACATTGCCCAGGGCTGAGCGTGTCGGGGAACAGGGACACATGTGAATGTAGGAACTCCTCCCTCCCATGGGTGCCTCAGAATAAGAGAGACTTAGGGGAGCACCCACTGGAGTCTCAGGCAGCACAGCTCTTGAGCACCTGCCCCATGACCTGCACCCCTCTCCTCATCATTCTCCTCCCTCTCTGCAGCAGGTGAGGGCTGACCTGTTCTGGGTGGAATATTTGTGGGGGACCCCTCAGTTCTGCCCTGTACCCTCATTCACTTGGCTCACTGTTCCCTCTCTCCCTCTAGGGTCTACGGCCCAGGCAGGGCTGACTTAGCCGCCCTCAGCATCCAAGGGCCCAGGACAGATGGCCACCATCACCTGTACTGGAAATAGCAACAATATGGGCAACCAGGGAGCAGCTTGGCTGCAGCAACACTCAGGCTGTGTCCTCAAACTCCTGACCCACAACTATGTTAACCGACTCTCAGGAATCACAGAGAGATTCGTGGGCTCTGGGTCAAGGCAGACTGGCCTCTCTCTCTCTGGTCTCCAGCCTGGAGATGAGGCTAATTATTACTGCTCAGCATGGGACAGCAGCTGAGTGCTTGCATTGCGCTCAAGGTCCACAGGGAAGTGAGAGAAAGACCTTTGGGCTTCAGGCTACCTACTCGCTGCCCAGAGCATCGGGGTGCAACGGATCCCTGAGGAGATATGGAGTAGACAATACTGGGTACTTGAAGGGGCTTTTTAAAGTTGGGACTGCCAACAAAACTCAATAAATCCAGTTAAGGATGTTTAGAATTACTCATTCAAAAATATTTATATGCAGCACAGTTCTAAACCTACTGGGATCTACTTGATGATGTGTATTACATGTATTTATTAATGAAGAGGAGCTAGGTTAAATATGTTTATTTAACCTCCGATTTTTTCCATAAAGGAACTGTAAACAATGCCAAGAATAGCTAAAGGGACATTTACTTACCCAACTTCTTCCTAACAATCTTTAAATTCCATGCAATCATCTAATTTTTCAGTCCTGTGGATTACCCACCATTACAGCATACATTGGCCACTTCCTGGGGTCCCTAACACTAGAACAGTAATGCTCTCACACAGCTTATGTTTTTGGATGTCAGTCTCCTCAATTGTGCCTCCAAAGCCCCACCTTCACCTTTTTCTACCAGTCCCTGAACACAACAGTGTGAGAATTAGAAGGGTGCCGTGGGAGCACATATTGAGTTAAATCCCCAGTGAGGGTTTAGGCTTGGGGGAAGCATTTAGGACACAAAAACCTGACCCCAGAGGGTGATATCTTTAGGATTTATGGAAATGAGCTAGAAGGAGAAATGAGGGGGAAAATGCTCTAGGTGTTGGTAACAGCATATGTCAACAACAACAAAAAATTTTTTTGGTTGTTCATCCAAGTAAATAATAGAATTTGCACTGGGCCTAAGTGTGGCAGATGGCAGTGGGGACAGGGTCAGGAGAAGTGACTCTAGATGAGTCTGGATGAGAGGAAGGAAGGGTGCAGCCATGTCGTAAAGATGACACACCCTACGAAGTATGCATTTGGCTGTAGAGGTCATGTGGAGCCTGGGCTAGTCAGAGTTCTCTAGAGAAACAAACAGAGATAGAAGGAGGTAGAAGGAGATTTATTATGAGGAATTGGCTCACATACTCAGGGCTGTGCACATGCTCAGGAAAGACCTGCGAAGGTTCTAAGCTCTCACCTCTGGCTGACCTTGACGTTCTGCACAAGCAGGAAGTGAAGGCTTAGGTGGGGATTTCCGCTGCCTGGCTGAGTGCTAAGACAAAAATCCCCATGCTCACAGAGCCCCTCAGTAAAGACTGGGTGACTTCTTGGTTCCAGGCTGTTAATGAAATCTCTATCCAATCAACAAATGACCACCAAGTAACCAAACAGGGACGACAGTGGTCACACACGACACAGAATACACTTAGTGAATTCGCTCAGAAAAGTCAATAGCAAAACAACAACAACAACAAAAACCAAAAACCAAAAACACAACAAGTACAAGAAAACAGCATAACAACAAATCCTGGGGAGGGGTGAGAATCTGATTCTCAGAGTTTCCATGTGATATTATTTTAAATGTCCAGTTTATGCCCCCCACCCACCAAAAAAAAAAAGTGTGGTCCTACGTGGTCCGGAAAAGAGTTGACATAGTAGGGTTGAGACTGCTTTC